GAGAGAGAGAGAGAGTATTGGAGAGTACCTTGCCAAGTAGGGAGAGTTTTCCTGGTAAGGCAATTGGTGAACTGTCGGTAGTCTTGCTGGCTAGTACGTTAACAAACTGGGACTGTGGTTGTTGTAAAGCTGCAGTCTTTGGGTTCTCTTTTTCTCCATCCAAATTGAAAGAGGCTCTCATGTTTCTCAATCTTGGCGGAGGTGTTGCACTCTTCTTCTCCTGCAAGTTGTGAAATTTATTTTTCATCAAGAAATAAGTAAACAGGAGCAAAGAAAGTGAAAACCAATATGTTCTTTTTCGTGACCATCTGACATGAACATCACATCAATACCTCAAGCAAGTGAGGCCGAGCTAAATTTGTACTACAAATTTTTTAGAAAATCATTTGGGGGCAATAAGCGAGAAAAATGAATCAAGTTTATTTTCTGCATCATATAAGGGAATTCTAAAACCTCTCTCTCCCTCTCGATCAAAAACTAAAACAAGTAGAAGAGCACTCTTTCTCTCTCAATCAATCACTAAAAACCTTAAAACAAGAAGAGCAACAATGTACCTACAGCAATGCTGAAGGGACTCTTCGGTATCTGCCGATCCCTAATGCAAACGCTCTTGCTCCTTGGAATCTTCGACGCAGAAGCAGGAGCAACAGCACAACTCCTTCTCACCATACCTGGAGACTCTCTCTCTCTTGAATCCATACCCTTCCAGATAACCCCATTCACGGAAGACCTCACCCCACTACTCCCCTTAACCAGAGGTGAAACCGAACTACCCCTCAATAACCCATCTTTAACAGGGGTCCTCAGCTCTGGAACTTCAATTTGATCCCATGAACCTCTCCTATGAACTGAAAACCTTACTTTCTGATCACTAGAAATATTGATCCTCTCGCTTTTCTCTCTAAGACCCGTTATTTGTTCAGGTGTTCCAACCAATGGGTGCCTTCCAGGAATCGTTTTCACTCCTCTCAGAAGGGGAACCGGCGATCCAGGGTCCAATCTATCGACGTAGATAAATTGCCCAAGCTGCAATTTGTTGCTCAAAACCAAGTCATCCTGATGGTCTGGTAGGCTTACATATATCGAGTGAGAAGAGTCTGAGACTTTTACGTAGAACCCATGCTTTGGCCACAATTCATTGTCCTCTAAATCAGCAGGGACAATGTCGGTCACCTGTAAGAGAGAGGATCGGTGCTCGCTCGTGGGTTTTGTCCCACTATTCATGTTTTCAAGGAGCTTTAGCAAAATTCCTGGTGCAAGTGTTGCCATTGATCAAAGGGGGAGTGAATGCTATGAGGCTTGTCTGTGTTCGAGGAGAGAAGCAGAGTGGAGAGAGAGAGAGAGAGAGAGAGAGAGAGAGAGAGAGAGAGAGAGTAGGTAGGT